TATCGCATCCAGATGCCGTCATTACGCGCTTTTTCTGGTTTTTGTTCTATTTTTTTTTAAAGGGGTGGGAATGTTTTGTTTTTAAAATCCTAATGATTTCTGCCATACTGGAGCACAATAAGAAGCCTGGCATCGCGCCAAAGCAATTTAGCAATAAATACCCACGCCAATAAAAGTTAACAAAACAGAAATTAGGCAGAAGGAGATGCGGTGGTACCAACGCATTCCAAACCCACTGCGTTTGTACACTGGAAATGCAGAGCTGGCCTTGGCTGCAGCCCGAGCAGAGCTTGCGGAGAGACGCGGCTCTCTGTTTGCTCAAGAGGACAACCGAAAGGTCACAGGAGGACAGCCTATGGGGAAGGCTTGCAGCTCTTCCTACTCAGAAAGGTCAAAGTCATTTTCTTGCATAACTTTTAACATTTTTGGTAATTAGACCCAATTTTTCAGATTACTCTGTGAAAGGAAAGGGCATATATTAAAGAAATTAAACTGTTTCCTGCTTATTCATCTCTCACAAGACAGTGTCTCACAACCAACTCTGTTTGCCATCTCTTGACTACAGCCATTAGCCATCAGACTGCCACCGAAGCAGCAAACACCAATTGTGCACACCCATTACCAAAGAGCACATCAATTCAATAGTTTCCATACGCTGTCTGATTTCCGACATTATCCCTGCTTGGATCCCAACCAGTGACCCGAGGTGAAGCTGTTCTCCATAACCCCACCCACTCCCATTTCTGGTTTGCGACACCACTGGGGGAATGTCTGAGTACACCAATGTTTCTGATGGAGAGAAGAACTGCACAGTTTGCTTGGGGATTTTTAAGGGATTTCACAAACTGTTTTTTTTAATACTACATTCTTTTGGATTCTGCTAAGTTCTAGCTGCAGCTTATCCTCTGATTCTGAAATAGCGGTGTGGAAGAAAGCTACCCATCGCGTTTGTTTTCTCAGTTACTGAGCCCCAGCCAAGGATCCTGCCAACACCACCCCCCCTCGACCCTCACCAGTTGGCTTTTTGGACTGCACCTCCCGCTGGGACCTCAGCCTCAAGCATTCAGACACGTGGGCTTCTAGCACTAACGTGCCCTTGAATTAAGCAAAGGACTTGAGTACAGTACATTCCACATTCTCTAGCCCAAAACGTGACCTTTCATCAAGGTAAAACTGCGAGTAATGGTTCTCCAGCAGAGAATGCAAAATTCATCCAACACAGAATACAAGAAATACTGACACTTCTTCCTCGCAGACTCAAAAATGTATGTAACAGCTTAAAAACAAGACAGCATCCTGAGGACCGCTGAGGAAAAGGAACACGCATAGCACATGACCCAGCCATGCAGCTCTCCAGCCCCTTCTCACACAGTCCACCCACTGGGCCATACTTCAGCTACAGCACAGCATGCGCCTGGTGACTTGCAGATGTTTCTAACTACCTTCCCATCTCCGTCATTCCACCCATCATCAGTTGTAGGGCTCTAGCCAACAGAGCCATTCGGAACGCACAGATCAGGCCCACCACAAGCAAGAACTGTCAACCAAGCAGAACTGAGGTACCATCCCAGCAGTAGGAAACTGCTCAGAGCCATCTTACATCAGGCAGTTGTGTCCTACGTGAATGTGCTTTTATGCAGGTAACTCTAGATGCAAACAACAGTATCCAGAATTACCAAACGCACTCACAGAGTATGCTCAAGTAATTGGAAGGTCAACTCCACAGAAAATATAGACGGCTGGCCACAATTACAGTTTGGCTGCCAAATTCATTGAGAAACTGGAAGTGACCTAACAGCTGTTCAAATAACCACAGAATATTAAAGCACTCTTGTGAGATATAAGTTTCATCTTGAATAAGCCTTGCCTCTCAAACAGACGTGTCGTTTATTTGTCTATGACCACTCTGTAGAGACAGCTGTTTTCTCATCTGACTGCCACACTGTGTTCTTCGCTCTCTGCACCTCCCTCCAGCAGTTCAGATTCTGCTTCCAGATAATCCGTGTTTGAAATGATTAACCATGCGCTAAGTTCTGGTGCTGATATATTTTCTGCTGGGTGAGTTAAACAGCACCAGGTAGAAAAAAACCTTTTTCATGAAGTTAAAGTACCGGCATTAGGTTTCATATCAAAGTAATTTCATTAAATCAAATTCAGATACTTCTTAAGTACTGGAATTGTGAGCATTACAGGAAGAGCCTGAGAAAGCTCTAACTGGAGTGAACTCTGGCTATTGTTGTGCATTTCTCAATACAGGAAAAAAAAAAAAAAAGAACCAAACAGTGACTCAGCTGGGAAGACTTGTAAAATCTGACTGGAATTCTCCTCAGAGAGAGGGCAAGATTTATCCAACCCAAAAGTACACATCCGCATCAGGAATCATAGAATGGCCTGGGTTGAAAAAGGACCAAACTGATCATCTAGTTTCAACCTCCCTGCTATGTGCAGGGTCACCAACCACCAGACCAGGCTGCCCAGAGCCACATCCAGCCTTGAATGCCTCCAGGGATGGGGCATCCACAACCTCCTTGGGCAACCTATTCCAGTGCTTCACCACCTTTTTATGGTCAATGGAGAGCAGTGAATACTTTTCAAGTACTCTTTGCCTCGTTCTCAGTCAGAGCTGTACAATAAGCCATCCATTTGTTCCACAAGACTATCCAGAATCCCACAAATTATTAGGTCAGATAGGCATTTACAAAATTAGATGGGGCAAATCCCACAGAATGTTTCAAATGGCCCCTTTAAAAGCTCTATTTTGTTCACTGGGTATATTTCATTTCATTTCAACATGCCACGATCCCCCTAAATTCAACTGAAAGGAAAAAGTAAGCAAGCTCCTTCACACTGACATTAGCACTCTCGCTGTGTAATTTCTTTTGCTTGGAACAGAAAACAGAGGGAGCTTTTACACAAGGGCCATGTAAATGTGCACAACTTGCAGACACACTGAGCCTTGCTCAGGAGCACTCAGAGTGCTCACAGACATTTTGAATCACTTTTCCTTTTATTGTACCACGGCTCACACAAAACACCCTCACCGGTACAGAGCCACCTTCCCACAAAGATTACAGCCCCCACCTCTGATTTTATCAAGAGATGAGGCCTGGATCCGCTCAACTTCAGTGACATCTCTATTCTTAAGAGCCACAATCACTAACAGTACGGCAGGAATTCAGGTATAACCTCAAATACTGCCATAGTAATCATCTCTGCAGAAAATTTTATTGATTCATCTCCTTCCAGCAATACACATGCACTTGCCAGATGATATTTCTATTAAATATTCATAATCTCAGCTCTTCAAACCCCAGAGGAACAAACCAAAATAAATCACTGCAATGAAGCCACACATCTTCTAGAAAGAATCAAATGAATTCCGGTTTTGAAGACCTATCTCAGCATGCACATAAAGCCTTACTGTACTGGGGAGTGCACAGTGCTCATCGCAGACCGCTGACTCATTCGAGATCTTTTCCTAGAGGTTCAAAAAAATAGCAAGGCATCCATGCCAAGTGCGAGTACTTTGTATGCCCTCCGTACACTCCCCTCCCTCAGAGCTTTTCCTTTTGCTTTTTGGGTTTTTTGTTAATATCTGAATAAAATCCGAAGGAAAAAAAAAAAAGTGTTCTACTCTATAGTGTAGTTTCATGAAGTAGGAATACTGAAAAAAGGAATTCCCCCTACGCGGATGGCAGCCTGAAAGCACAGTGGTCATCTGCTTGGTCAACGCCAGCGGTTTTTCTGGGGCAAACTTCTGCATGGAAGGCAGCAGTGCAAAGAGCTGAGCTATGACAATTACAGAGGGCTCCTTCCTGCACACAAAGGACACAGATCTAATACCTCATCGCTGCCATCACTACTGGCTGCAAGCACAAAGTGAGTGCGTTACTGGAAGCTGCCCACTGGAGTAACCGTACGAAGGGACAATCGGTGACAAAACCACAGAACCCTTAGTTGGAAGGGACTTCCAAGGATCATCTAGTCCAACTGCCCTGCAAACCTGCACGCCCAGCCAACATTCGTTCTTTCTTCTCTTAGTGCCCAACGGTACCACCACGAGCTGAGCCGACCCGCGGCGCTCAGGGCCACCGGCTGAACCACCTCTCCTCGCACGTTAAGAGCACGGGCACCATTCTCGCCCAACGTCTCCGAGGCGAGACGGCTCGCTCTCATTTTATCTGCCCTAGAGGCAGCTCACGCTCGCACTCAACCGCTTTCATCGCTCGCTTTTTTCCACCCGAAACTTGAAGGATGCCGCAGAATGGGTCACGTTCGGGGCGGCGACGCGCATTAAAGGCCGGCACACGGGATCGCCCCTTTGTTTTATCCGCTCGGGCCTTTCCCGTCGGCGTTTTGCGGGTGATTGATGACGGGCCGCCCTCCCCGCTTCCCTCCCTTCCACTCCCCCTTGTCGTCCCCCCCACCCCCACCCCACAACGTCTGGGCGGGGGGCGGTGGCCCCCCGAGTCCGTCTCTCCCACCCCCGAAAGCAGGGGGGCTCCGAGCGGGTCCCCACCCCGCCGGGCATTTCCGCAACCGGGCTCGGCCCTGCGGCTCTCCCAGCACCGGGGAAGAGGGGAGTGGGAAGAAGACGGAAAAAAAAAAAAAAAAAGGAAAAACGAAAAAAAAATAAAAGAAGGAACCTCTCCGTGCCCGCCGCCCGACCTCACCGCCCAGCTCCCCCCGCGCCCCCTCCCCTGCTCAGTCCCTCTCCGCAGCCCCCCCGCCCCGACCCCTCTCTCCCAGAGCCGGCCGCCCGCAGCGGCGCTACCCGCCCCCCTTCCTCCCCGTCCCTCCTCCCCCTCTCCTGCCGCAAACGGCCATTTCCATTGTGTCTCCGCCGCGACGCTGCCAAGCCGAGCGGGGCCGGCCCCGGCCTCCGCCGTCGCCAACCGCCGAGCCGACGTAAAGCGGCCGGGTTGGGTGGGGGGAGGGCCGCGGGACCCCCTCCTCCCCTACGCCCTGCCCGCAGCCCCCCGGGTTCCCCCCCCAATCACCTGTGGTGAGCCGGGAGGACACCTCTCCGAAGGGCGAGGGCTCCATGCGCAGGTATTTCTGCGGGGAGGCGAAGGAGGAAGAGGAGGCGGCGGCCGAGGCCGGGGCTGACAATGGCGCACATCGCCTCCGCTTCGGGGACGCCGGGCTGAGCAGCGGGTCGAAATCCAGAGTCCTTTTCAAAGTGGCGCCGCACGCCATGGCGCCGGGCGGCGGCCGGGCCGGGGAGCGGGGCTCGGAGAGAGGGGACGGGGAGACGGAGGCGAGCGGCCCTGCCCGGAGGCGCCTTCCTCGCTATCTAGGGTGGGAGGGAGGGAAGCAGGGGAAGGAGGGGGCCGCTGCGTCAGGGCCTCCGTCGCCTCCCTATCGGCCTCTCTCAAGGGAGCGGCCGCGGCCCCAGCCCCCGGCGGCTCGGCCGGCCGGATCCCCTCTTGTCGCCCGTCCTGCCGTAACCCGCGCTCCGGCGGGGCCGATTCCGCCCGCGGAGGGTCGCGGGGCGGGCGTTGGGCCGAGAGGTGCGGAGCTGGGCCCGGTTACCCGGCTCGCGGCCGCCGATGACGAGCGATGGCGGCGGGGCCCGAGCGGCGGCGGCGGCGGCGCTCCCCTCTGTGACTCCCACACCAGCAATATGGCGTCAATAACAACGCCGCGGATTCAAAAACCAGCCCCCCACACAGCGCCTGCGCACCTGAGGCGGCGGCGGCCGCGGAGGCTCTGGGGAATTGTGGTTTCCCCGCCCCCTCCTCGCTGGTCGGCGGAGGGCTGCCCGCCGGGGGCGGTGCGACTACAAATCCCGGCGTGCCTCGCGCCACCCGGCCCGACTTCCGGGTTCTGATTTAAATCCCCCCTCGGCAGCGGCGGTGGGGTGTGTTGGAGGGCGGTTGTGGGTGGCGGCGAGATGGTGGTGCCTGCGGGGTTCGGGGCCCCTGGGGCGGGCGTGGGGGTTCTCCAAAGGCGATGAGCGCACGCCGAGGGACAGGAAGACGCACTGTGCGTGCCAGGCCCTGCGGGCCGGCTGCGGGGCTGCTGTTACTCGTGTAGGCAGCGCCGAGCAGGTCCGGCAGCGCCGATGTGGCCGCAGGGCGCGTGTCAGTGCCTGAAGTGAGGGCAAAGTGCGCGTTGCGGCCGTCGTGTGGGGGGACAGCGGGGGCAGAGCGGCTGAGGTGGCAGCTGAGAGCTCGTTCGAGGCGGCCGTGCTGTGAGCAGTCTCCCAGCTCCGGGCTCCCTTACTGAGGGAGGGCTTGTGGCTCCAGCCTTATGTGGCAAGGGCTGAGCTCCTTCCTGTTCTTGACTGAAGTAAACTGTGTCACAGTTCAGCACAGTGGAAATGCGAACAGGAGGTGCTAGGCCTAAAAATGTGTATAACCTCAGCTTTTATGTGCCTTAATTTAAGCGTTAACATCAAAATGCTGTCCTTAGAAGACTAAATGGGCAGGATTTTAATGCTTTTGTTTCTGTTTTTTTTTTTTGTTTGTTTGTTTTTTTTTTTTTTTTTATAATGAAAAATAAGCTAGCATTTGAAAAATAAAAGCATTGCTTGGAAGCAAGTTCTTGCTTTGTGTGTTCCCTGTGCAGTATGCATATCATGAAGCCCAGCAACACCCCACAGTCTAAACACCAACCTGCCAGCAGTGTGGCTGCGCACTTAGCCTAGCTGAGGCTTTAGGTGGTGGGTTGACCTGGCAGAGCCCTTCTGCCCCATGAAGATAGAAATAGTAATTACTAATGATGTGTGTTCTCTGCGACAGATAGCTAGTGATGATGTTGGGGCAATGAGGAGAAATTCTCCTTAGGTTTACCTGAATTGCCTTGGCCTGAAACCAGTTACAGAAAATGTCAGAGTGATTCCTCTGCTGTTATCTTTTCCTCTGTGCAAAAATACTCTGAATATGTCCTTAGTAAGGAGAATGCTGACAAGCCTTCCTAAAACAGTACAAGACTGGAGAAGTGTACTGATGTTAGTGTTGCAATTGTCCTACTATTACTCTACCAGTATAACTCTTTCTGTGCATGTTCTTCTTAGGAATAATGCTGGCTGGTTTTCTGTTCATTTAATTTGTAATTTCCATTGCATTTCCCTAAGCAGGTAAGTTTCCCTGTATTCATACAGCAGTTTCAAGTATACTTACTGAGTGCTTTGCCAAGCAAGACTGAAGCCAAACTGAGGAACTCATAAGTAACTCAGCATGCGTATGAGGCAGTTTCTTAGTTTGGAGTGCTCTGAACCCATACAGGGCTGAGACAGCCACTTCTGCCATCATCTATGTGCTGAGAAATGTCTGTGTTGGATGCAGTATTCATAGAATCATCTGAGTTGGAAGAGACCCTTAAGGGTTATCTGGTCCGACCCCATGCAGTGTTCATGGGCCAGCATTGTGCCTTCGTGGCCAAGAAGGCCAATGGCATCCTGCAGTGTATCAGAAGGGGTATGATTAATAGATCCAGAGAGGTTCTCCTCCCCCTCTACTCTGCCCTGGTGAGACCACATCTGGAATATTGTGTCCAGTTCTGGTCACTTCGGTTCAAGAAGGAGAGGGAACTGATTGAGAAAGTCCAGCATAGAGCCATAAACAATGATTAAGGGAGTGAAGCATCTCCCTTACAAGGAAAGGCTGAGGGAGCTGGGTCTCTAGCTTGTAGGAGACTGAAAAGTGACCTCATTAATGTTCATAAATATGCAAAAGGTGAACGTCAGGAGGATGGAGCCAGGTTCATCTCAGTGGCATCAAATGATAGAACAAGGGGCAATGGGTGCAAGCTGGAACGTGTGAGATTCCACGTAAATATGAGAAAAGCTTCTTCACATTAAGGGTAACAGAGGGAATGGACTGGTGAGAGAGTTTGTAGGGTCTCCTTCTCTGGAGACGTTCAAAACCTGCCTGGATGCATTCCTGTGTGACCTGATCTAGGTATTCCTGCTCCAGCAGGGGGATTGGACTAGATGATCTTTAGTGGTTCCTTCCAATCCGTGACATTCTGTGATTCTGTGATTATGGACACCTACAGCTAGATCAGGTCTCTCAGCATCTCTCCAGCCTGACCTTGAATGTCTCTGGTGGTGAGGCTCCACCAACAGTCTGGTCAAGCTGTACTGAAAAAGTTCAGTTAATTTTTAGAATAACCAGCATTTCCCCAGTTAATATTTGTGCTGTTTAGTGTATGTACTTCATGTGTACACATACGTGCTCTCTGCCTTCTGCAGGAGGAAAGATTCATTTACATCATCTCACATGACACCAGATCCTGAGAACCATTCAGGTGTATTTGCAGTCGATTAAGACAGTCTGGGAAATCAAGTAAAACTTCATCAAGATAAGCTAATAGAAAGCAAGCTTTTGCCAGCACAGGCAGCAACTATAATAGTAAGCAATTGATTAGAACCATGATTGTCGTAATCAACAGTTAATCAGGCGTTATCTGACCTTTAATTTGTTGAACTAAACTGAAAAAAGTCTGATTTAAGTCAAAATAAGAATTCACACAGCCCTTTGCAGTAAATTAAACCCAGTTAAACCAATGTAGCTTTGCATGTAGACAAACCCTAAGGCAGCAAAGTGTCCAACAGCAGTGACAAAGTGTTTGATGGTTGTCAGAGAACATGTGTTTTTACTTTCATTGTGGCAGGAAACACCATAGGGTCAAGGCTGCAAACCACTGTTTACGTTGTTCTTTCTTCTACTTATTATATAACCAATTTGCAGTGTCCCATTATGTGCTGCATAGGGTGCTTTTAAAATTAAACTATATGTTATAGGCATGTTTTAAAAAATAAATGCCATCCACAAATTTTATTAATGCTGGGAATGGGAGAGCATATTTACAACTAGTGCTGTGCTAGATTTTATTGGATCTGCACTTCAAGCATGACACCTGCTAAAAGAACAGGTCCAGATGTAGGACAACATTTTGACCTTTGCATTTCTGAACTGGGCAAGAGAAGCAACCCTTCTGTGTACTGCTTTGGGATTGCGGGGAAAATATAGTTGCGTGAATGTTAGTCTTTATCTTTTCTTCCCCTTCCTTCTTCTATTGCTCCATTCCTCCACAGTTTTTTCTCTGTCTTCCTCTCATTCTCTTTAATTCCACCTTGACTCTGCTTCCCTTTCCTTTTCCTTGAGACATCCTATTCATTTGATGCAGGGTTCACATCGTGGTCCTTTTATTTTCTTTTGTGTTAATCACATTCCTCCCATTTAACAGTGCCTCATTTCCCATTAACAGGTTGTGCTCACAAGCATGTGACCTGCAGTTAGCTGAGCTCTTCTCTGGCCTTGTTCTATCTTGCCCTAAGTGAGGAAAAGCCACCTAAAGTGTATGTAGTCTGCCATTCCAATGCATTTTGGCCTTTGATACGTACCAAAGATTTCTTGCTGATGTATCAGACAGTCGCTGTGTTTGCTGATTGTGTAAACAAAATGCAGAAAAGTTGTTCTGTCAGGACTTGAGTGAAGTGTTTATGTGGTGCCAAGTGAAAAAGTGGTTGATTACAATGAGAAAATGAGGATTAGAGTGGGTGTTGTAAGATGGGAAAAACAGCTAAAAGAAAAATTGAACGAGTTTCTCAATCTGCTTTGCTATACCAACACATGGCAAGCAAAATAATGGATAAAAAGGAACTGAAGTGAAAGCCAGAGTCGGTGAAGGTCACCTGTGCTATTTAGTTATTTAGTTAGATTTATGCTGGCTAAAGTGTATAAAAAATTATGAACTGAACCTGCAGCTTGGTGTAACCTCAATAGATGAAATAGATGATGTTTCAAAAGAGATGTTTCTTAGATTTAAAATATTTCTATCAGAAGTGTAAAAGTATCTTTGCCAATATTAGAGGCATTAAAAACACATATTTCATCTGAAACACCGTACATACTGCTCATACGCGTTCAGGAAAGATTAATTAAAACCAGAACTTGTCCAGAAAAGGTGACTGAACTGCCTGAGAAAATGGAAAACTTATTTATTGTAAGAAGATAAAGGATTGTGAATGGCTGGCCCAGCCAAATCACTGCTAAAGTCTCTGATTTTTCTCCGAAGCACAAGGAGGAAATAAATTTAGGAGCATTTTAAGGTCTTTGTTAGTGGTAGCGACAAGGATGATATAGGAACTGGCAGTTCTCTCACCTAAACTGACTTGCAACTGTCCGAGCCATGAGATTCCAGTGCATTCTTCCATTCCAGCAGCAGTAGTGTGGGTGAAAATGAAATAAAACCCAAATCTTCAAATCTTCTTTAC